TCCCGACAGAGTGAAGTGCCGGGGGCCCAGGGAGGTTTTGGGGATTCAGGGTTTATAAGGTTTAGGGGTTTTGGGGGGTTTAGGGTTTAGGGTTTAGGGTTTAGGGTTTAGGGTTTAGGGTTTAGGGGTTTGGGGGTTTAGGGTTTAGGGTTTAGGGGTTTGGGGGTTTAGGGTTTAGGGGTTTGGGGGTTTAGGGTTTAGGGGGTGGTTAAGGGGCTGACAGTGTAGGGTGCATGTTTGACTTGGCACGGTGTGGCGGCTGGAGAGGTGGCGGGTGCAGGTTTGGAGGTTTGTGGTGCTTTGGTGGCGGATTTATCAGATGCCCTTGCAAGATTCCCCTAAACCCTCAAACCTCCTGGTTGCGTTGTTGTGACTTGTGACTTGTGACAACCCTGAATCCCTAAATTGGAATCTCCCAAAAACCAAACCCCACCCCACCCCTCCCGACTCCCCCCCCCCCCCAAACCAAACAACCTCCTGCACACGCCCTAAACCCTAAACCCTAAACCCTAAACCCTAAACCCTAAATCCTAAATCCTAAACCCACGCCCCTAGGGATTTGGAGTTGAATCCAAGCCCCTTAGGCTCTGGAGCGCCGAGCAGCAAGAACTGGTGGAGAGCCGCTATGCACCTCGATCACCTTGGGGGGGGGGGGGTTAATTAATGTTTGGGGGTTTAGGGGTTTAGGGTTTTAGTATAGGGTCTAGGTTTTTAGGATTTGGGGTTGAGGGGGGTTGGGATTTCAGGGTTTCGGCTGTGGTGTAGGGGCTTTGGGGTCCCGGGCAGTTGTCGGGCTTGGTTTGGGCGGTTTGTGTATGTGTTTTAGGGTTGAAGTCAAGATGAGCTGTGCTGAGGGGCTGAGGGTCACCCCACCCTCATGACAGGAATTCTTCTTGTACAATCCTCAAAAAGCAGTAGTATAGAGGTACTGTATGCAGGGGCCCAAGTAAACCCCGCAGAGCGGCTCAGGCTTGAAAGTCTTCCGCCTAACACGCAACGTGATGACCCGAGCCTCTCCGGCCACCCTGTCTGGGCTTCAAAAGGGCTTCTATTACCCTAAGGGTCCATGTACCTGAATAGGGAATACTGCCTTAAAGTACTTCCTGAAAAGGGACTTTGGGGCCCAAGTATATAATAATGAGGTACATGGACCCTTAGGGCCTGGAGCGTCATCCTAGTCTTTCTGATTGTACCGAGGCATCCTACACCCTCTAAACTCTCATTCCCTACCAAAAGAACCAGTAGCATTCCCTACCAAGACCCAGTATAGGTCTAAACTCTACAAACCCTAAACCCCAAGCCCTAAACCCTAAGCCCTAAGCCCTATAAGCCCTATAAGCCCTATATTACAAGCTCTAAACCAGCCTAAGCCCGACACACCACAGGAGCATGACCTCAAGGCGGAGGCCGCTACGCTGGCCGCCATTGAGCTCATGCAGCGCGCGGAGGGAGAACATGTGGAGCTCTCCTGTAGGGATGTTTCGTAGGGTTTAGGGTTTAGGGTTTAGGGTTTAGGGTTTAGGGTTTAGGGTTTAGGGTTTAGGGTTTAGGGTTCAGCATCTCAAGTCCGAGCATTCACTAGTCAAGCAGCTTGTCAAGTGTTGGAATAAAACCCCACCCACCCAAGAAACCCATAACATTGAGAAAATACAAAAATCACTCAATACATTCCCAGTAACCTTAAAGCTTAAGGTCCAGTTGGCTCAAAACCCGAAATCTAACCCAGAGGCCCACCAGACCAATATGCCGATGAAGGGGGGGGTTTAGGGCCCCCCCCCCAATGGAAAAAAACCGTTTGCCGACGAAGGCCGGGTTGGAAAAAAACCATCTGCCGACGAAAGGGGGTCAGGGTTTAGGGCCCCCCCGGGTGGAAAAAACACCATTTGCCCACGAAGGGGGTCAGGGTTTAGGGTCCCCCCCGGGTGGAAAAAAACCATTTGCCCACGAAGGGGGTCAGGGTTTAGGGCCCCCCCGGTTGGGAAAAAAACCATTTGCCCACGAAGGGGGTCAGGGTTTAGGGCCCCCTCGGGTGGAAAAAAACCCATTTGCCCACGAAGGGGGTCAGGGTTTAGGCCCCCCCCGGGTGGAAAAAAACCATTTGCCCACGAAGGGGGTCAGGGTTTAGGGCCCCCCGGGTGGAAAAAAACCATTTGCCCACGAAGGGGGTCAGGGTTTAGGGCCCAAAGGCTCGGGTTTGATCAAAAATCCAGAAAACGAGAGCCCACCCAGAACCGTCGATTTCAGTACTAAAAAATCGCATTTTGAACTGGGACCCGGGCCGATCTGGGGTCCCCCTCATTTGGGGTGTTTTGGAGGCACGGTCCAGGAAAAAAAACATTTGCCCACGAAGGGGGTCAGGGTTTAGGGCCCAGAAAAGCCACATGCCCACGAAGGTCATTAGGGTTTAAATATACATAGTAAAAGAGGGTTTAGGGTTTAGAGCTCTCTTTGTCTCTCTCTCCTGTAGGATGCTTTGGAACTTAGGGTTTATAGGGTTATGTAGGGTTTAGTTGTGGGGGGGGGGGTCTGTATGTTGAGTGCTGATTTTTTAGTAGTTTATGGGAGTTATAGGGTGTCACAACGCTTGGGGTTTGGGGTTTTGGGGGTTTAGGAATTCAACAGCCGGGCTTCAGTTTTAGGGTTTGGTGCCCTAAACCCTAAACGCTAAACCGTAAACCCTAAACCCTAAACCTAAAAAACTAGACCCTAAACCCTAAACTGCAGTTTCTGCTTGAGACCATGAGTTGTCTTGTCAGAGCCAAACTTCAGCTTAAAAGCTCTGAAGCCTTGAAGCCCTAAGCCCTAAACTCTCGACACCCTCTCGCTTTTCGTGGCTTTTTGAAGGAAAGTAAGGGGGGGGGGCAGTTTTCCGCGTTGCAAGCAAGGCGCCGCCGACGTTTCCGGACCTTTCGGCCATGTGTCATGAAGAAGCGTTTCCGTACACCTAGCGCCTAGCGCGGTACCCCACACGGACACATCACCCCGCACTGGCACCCAGAAAGCCCCAAACCCTAATCCCTAAACCCTAAACCCTGAACCCTGAACCGCCTCAAGATCCCTCTGCTGCAGCCTGGCCCTGCGCCTGAACTCCCAGATCTTCAAACAACCCAAACCCAGGGTTTAGGGTTTAGGGTTTCGGGTTTAGGGTTTAGGGTTTGGGGGTCTTAACGGCCGCTACCTTTAGCCCACAACCTTCCATTTCATGTCTCCCCTGCGTTGAGCGAAGCCAATCGGTAGCTCCTCGCAGCATGGGTGCGAGGCCATTTGGCTTGATCTGAGAATCGGGAGTCTTTAGTGGGTTTAGTTCAGGGTTTAGGGTTTTGGGTTTTGGGTTTTTGGGTTTTTGGGTTTTGGGCTTAGGGTTTAGGGTTTAGGGTTTAGGGTGTAGTGTTGAGTCTTTAGTGGGGGTTTAGGTTGTGAGGGCCTGGGCTTCAGGGTTTGTGGCTGAGGGTTGAGGGTTTGGGGGTTCAGGATTTTGTTTTTTCATCAGGGTATAATGTGCTCAAAGGTTCACTCACATCAAGCATTCAAGCCTTCTAGGCCTTTAGGATGCAAATCGCAAACACTAAACCCTAAAACCCTATAGACTGTAAACCCTAAACCCCTAAGCCTGTTCGGGCAAGGGGCACGCCGCACGTGCAGCAGCCGAGCGTGCGCGGCTGTTGCGCATGCAAAGCTTTTGGAGCATCCCGGCGAAGATTGATTTGGGGTTTAGGGTTTCGGGTTTAGGGTTTGGGGTTTAGGGTTTAGGGTTTGGGGTTTAGGGTTTGGGGTTTCGGGTTTAGGGTTTGGGGTTTAGGGCTTCTGACGCGGTGCCTTTGTGTAAACCGACCTGCCCCCCCTCCCCCCCAAGCCGACAGCTCTCCACGCTAGACCCTACCCAAGAGCCCGAAACCTACTTCTCTGAAGCCGATGATTCTACAACCTCTCACAGGGTTCTTATAAGAAACCTGCAACAAAGGGTTTGGGGAAAGCAACAACAGGTTTGGGTGTGTGAAGGGAAACGCTGCCGCCCCCACCATGAGATCCAAAACTGGCGAAGCCATACCCGTGCTTTAGAGGTCAGCGTTTCGGGTTGGGGTTGGGGGTTTAGGGGTTTTACCATCTTGCATGGGGGTGTGGCAGGTTAGTGGACCTTGCCCTCAGTCAAGGTCTGAACTGGCATCTTCTGCTGTCCGCAAGCTGGCGCGTTGCACGCCATCCTTTCTGATCGGCCTTCCTTCGCAGCCTGGTGGAGGACAAGGAGGAAAGGATATTATTACTGCCTTCCTTGTCGAGCAAGGAGGTTGAAGCCTGGGAACCGAACCAGCGTTCAATAAAAGATTTTGCAACTCAAGCGGATCGCGTGCCCTGCCATGTGTGGATGACGTGAATTTCTTGATGCGTTTGATGCTCGCAGTCAGTGCCTACATTCAGAGCTTTGTTTCATGTATCGAGAGTCGGGTAGAGAAACTCAAGCAGAGGTACTCGGACGGGTAGGACGAGGGCTTGCAGAGCACAGAGCTGAGCCCAAACACCCTTAAAGAATGCTTGGATCAGAGATGCTGAACCCTCAACCCTCAACCCTAAACCCTAAACTCTAAACCCTAAACTCTAAACCCTAAACCCTAAACCCTAAGCCCTAAACCCTAAACCCCGAACCACTGAAAGTAGCACGTTCTCTCAGGAGCTGGTAGGCACGAAAGCAGGCGAAAGATCGCCGAGCAGGTGAAGAAGGCATCTAGGGGCTGTGTGTTGGTTTAATTAGGGTTTAGGGTTTAGGGTTTAGGGTTTAGGGTTTAGGGTTTTGGCACATGTCAGCAAGCGCCGCAGGAATCTGAGAGCCACCCGTTTCCCCATGGTTCTTCGTAGGGAATGAGGGAATCAGGGCCCCATAATATACCCTCTAAGGGATTCTGTAGGGTACCTCATTCCCTCATTCCCTACCAAGAGCCGGCCCCAGTTTTCCAGCATTGGGCTCAACTCAGCTTCGTTTTATCTGTAGCTGCCACGCTTGTGCCATGGCCTCAATGAAGTTCAGCTTCCAGAAGCTTATATATTTCCTTTGCGTTGTTCCTTGGGAGCCAAATGACCCCTAAAATTAGGACCAATACCCTGTACTACACTAATCTTTATTGGTTATATAATAATCCTGATTAGCTAAGAACCCTCAACCCTAAACCCTAAACCCTACACCCTAAACCCTAAACCCTAAACCCTAAACCCTATAGGGTATATGAACCATCAACCCTTTGAGCGTTCATTTGGTGATCAAGGTTGGTGCGTTCGGGGCGAAGCTTCACGACGCCCAGATCTCCCAGGACGCAGAGGTTGATGTGGACGATTGCAGCTTCTCGTTGAAGAACCTTGGGGACGAAATGGACCCTAAACCCTAAACCCTGAACCCTAAACCCTAAACCCCATAAAAGGGTTTATGGTCCATATACCTTGATAGGGATTATATCGGATTATAGTAGTATAGTTACTTCGCCTTTAGTTGAACGTGAAGCTTTTGGGGCTTCCTTATTTAGTAGCAATATTTAAAGTTTAAGCTTGTTTTTCACCTTGGATATTGGAGAAGTAAGGAACAGCCACGTTGCGACCTGTCATGACGTCTCCATCAAAGATTGCCCAAAGTCCTACACCAACTGGGGCCTCCACTACTTTGTGGAGTGCAAGGTCTCAGAGTATGATACTTCGTAGCTGAGTGAGCACACTTTACACTTTTTGGGAGAGTATGATCCCCCTATAGAACTGAAAGTGTACCCTAAACCCTAAACCCTAAACCCTAAACCCTAAACCCTAAACCCTAAACCCTAAACCCTAAACCCTAAACCCTAAACCCTAAACCCTAAACCCTAAACCCTAAACCCTAAACCCTAAACCTAAACCCTAAACGCAGCAGCTAAGGATACCGCCTGCTTGCCCTCTGGACCCAAGTGCAAGAAAACCGAAGGAGGTCAAGCCCAGGGCTGGCTGGAGGTGTACGTTGGCAACGAGAACTACGTTTCTATATCCCCCTTGGGAATAATTTTCATTTTTGTTATATAAAACCCAAAGCTTGTTTCTATATCAACCTTGGGAATGATGTTTTTTTTTTTTTACTTTTGTTTACATAGAACCCAAGAGGGCATTAAGCATAGTATGTTTTTAAAGGTTGTTTTTGTTTACATAAGACCCAAGAGGGTGTTAAGCATATTATTTTTTATTAAGGTTCTATAAGGGGACTATATTGTGGTTTATCTAAAACCCAAGAGGGTATTAAATAAATAAATATATATATATATATATATATATATTATTTTTATTAAGGTTCTATAAAGGGGAGTACAGGTCTGTGGTCTCGCCGCCACCGGCAAGGCCTTCTGCTGGCAGAACGGAAACTTGGTAGCCCAGTGCTTGTACTTTTCCCTTCTTTGGGTTCGAGGTGCCCTTACAAGGTAGCCATCCCCGAAAGGTTCATGAGCTACCCTAAACCCTAAGCCCTAAATCCTAAACCCTAAACCCTGAACCCTAAACCCTAAACCCTAAACCCTAAGCCCTAAACCCTAAACCCTAAACCCTAAACCCTACCAAGGACAGCGACTGAACAATGTTCCTGACGCGACGTTCCTGACGGTGTCTCCTGAGATGGGAAATGCCGCGGCCTGTGGCCTCGACCTGGGTGGCAAAGTGCAGTGCTGGGGAACTGAGACTTGGTGGCGCCAGTGCTACCCTTTACCCTTTTTTGGTTCTGGGTTCCCACCCTAAACCCTAAACCCTAAACCCTAAACCCTAAACCCTAAACCCAGTGCTACCCTTTACCCTTTTGTTGGTTCTGGGTTCCCTTGTAAAGTAACTAACCAAAAACAGGGTACCCTGATTGTAAGATGGTTACTTGGCTACTAGTACCAAGGAGAGGGGATACGGCAGTAACGGCGGGAGGTGCCGCTGGTGCAGCGGATGGCACAACCTTGGCCTCACACCGGTGCCCAGCAGTTTGCCGACGTTCATCGACTTGAAGGTGGGCTATCACACCGCCTGCGGCATCGAGGAGAGCGGCACTGCTCTCACGTGCTGGGGGACCATGATCCTTGGTAGCCCAGTGGTACCCTTTACCCTTCGTTTTGTTGGTTCTGGGTTCCCTTGTAGAGTAACCACCCCCACAGAAGGGTGGTTAGGGTTTAGGGTTCAGGGTTCAGGGTTCAGGGTTTAGGGTTTAGGGTTTAGGGTTTATAGGGTTTAGGGTTTAGGGTTTAGGGTAACATAGTTACTGGGCTACTAAGGATCAGCCCGGACGGAAAGACCTGGCACAAGGAGATGGGTGAGAAGATCATGGGGCTGACTGTGGGCGACCAGTGGATTTGCATCCTCACGCCCAAGAAGGCTTTAGGGTTTAGGGTTTAGGGTTTAGGGTTTAGGGTTTAGGGTTTAGGGTTTAGGGTTTAGGGTTTAGGGTTCCCTAAACCCTCAACCCTAAGCCCTATGCCCTAGGCCTATAGGGGTACTCGGGAACCTTGGGTTACATACCCCCTTGAACCCCCCCCATCCCTTAAGAACCCTAAACCCTAAACCCTAAACCCTAAACCCTAAACCCTAAACCCTAAACCCTAAACCCTAAACCCTCCAAGAAGGCCGTGCGCTGCTGGGACATGGTCCGGAGCTCCGCAACCAGTGAGATCAAGGAGGCCACAGTCCCGACCCTCCCGGCCATCCAGAAGGTCTGAGTAGCTGAATGAGTAGACTTTTACGCACTTTTTGGGATGGTTTAGGGTTTAGGGTTTAGGGTTTGGGGTTTAGGGTTTAGGGTTCAGGGTTTAGGGTTTCGGGTTTAGGGTTTAGGGTTTAGGGTTTAGGGTTTAGGGTTTAGGGTTTGGGGTATAATCTCCTATAGAACTGAAAGTGTACACTTTTGCTGGGCTTATGAACTGAGCAACTAAGAGGTGGCCAGCGCCCAGTTTCAGGTTTGCGCCTTGGATGAGGAGGGGTCTCTGCACCTTGGTCGCCCAGTGGTTAACCCTAAGGGTTTAGGGTTTAGGGTTTAGGGTTTAGGGTTTAGGGTTTAGGGTTCAGGGTTTAGGGTTTAGGGTTTAGGGTAGCCCAGTGGTACCCTTTAGCCTCTTTTTGGTTATGGGTTCCCTGATACAGTAACCAATCCAAAAAAGGGTGCCCATTATTATAATATGGTTAGTACCAAGGCACTGTTGGGGTAGCAGCGCCTACGACGTCACAGACAAGAAGTTCAAGGACATCGCCGGCGGGATGTGGAGGTTTGCCGCCATCACCACGGAGGGCTACATGTCCCTTTTCTCACATAGTGGGGCAGCATTTTGCAGTTTCAAGGGTACTTAAACTCAATAAGGAGCGGAAAATTAACCCTAAACCCTAAACCCTATACCCTATACCCTATACCCTAAACCAAATACTCTCCCAACCATGAACTGTAGGTACTGGTGGCGCGATCGGAGGAATTCGGCGACCTTGGAGCAGGTGCTGGATGTCGAGGTTGCTTGGTGCCCCGTTGGTAGTACCATTTTCCCCTTTTTGTTGGTCAAGGTGGCCCTTGTAAAGTAACCAACCCCAACAAAGGGTGCCCTCATCATAATAATGTTGCCATCTTATGGTTTTCTCGGCTATCTTAAGGCTTATAAAGTAACCAACCCCCGAAACAAGGGTGCCCTTACCATAATAATGTTACCATCTTATGGTTTTTCTGGGGCTACTTTAAGGTTGAAAGGGGCTTCGTGGGCACCTACGGTGGCGTTGCTTTCGATGCGGCTGGCTTGGTACACGGCTTCGAGGGCACCAAGAGCTTTCCGAGCATCCCCCCGGAGGAGTGAGTTGGGCCGCGAAGCGTGCTAAAGGCCGTTTCGCGCACAGGTTAGTGTCTTTTTCTGCAAAAGAAGTCTCTGCATCTGTTGCATCTTGTGAAGCCGCCAGGTACTGCAGGTTGTGATCCCCCAGAAGCTACAGCAACTCAGTTTTTTCTCAATCTTTGCTCAAACCTGGGATCGTTGCAGCGTCATCGGAGAATGTGCTGTCAGTTTCTTCGTGCTGTTGTCATACGGCTCCCGCTCCGCTTCCTTGTTTAGCGTGCGCATGCCAGGCCCCACGCCGGCGAAGGCCAAGGCTGAGAAGGCTTCTCAGCGCCACTGTCACGCTTCACTCTGCCACGATGTAAGTAGGCCTGGCGGCCTGTCCACAGCCCAGTATATACCCTACGCCACGATAATCCATACTACTACATCATTGCCTATATATATATATATATATATATCCCTATTAGAGTATATGAACCCTGGAATTTTGTGGTCATTTATAGCCTCCATTCTACGACCATCCTAATCAAGAGGGCGTGCGTGTCCTTGACATGGAGTCCTGCACTTCGGGGGCTGCAGCTAACCCAGAGGGTCCATTTGTAGTACCATTATGGAATTAGGTGCCCCAAAACCCTATTTAGCAGGGTTTAGGGTTTAGGGTTTAGGGTTTAGGGTTTAGGGTTTAGGGTTTAGGGTTTAGGGTTTAGGGTTTAGGGTTTAGGGTTTAGGGTTTCCATGTAGTAATACAAATGGACCCTCTGGCAAAGGTTCCTTGCATCAAGCTCGTGACCATCCCTTGGCCAACGCAGACTGCGCCGGAGAAGCGCCGGCGGAAAGGCAGGACTTTGAGTTTGAAGAGTTGGGGTGCAGGGTTTAGGATCTAAGGTTTAGGATCTATAGGGTTTAGGGTTTAGGGTTTAGGGTTTAGGGTTTAGGGTTTAGGGTTTAGGATCTAGGGTTAGGTAACCCGGCATTCGCTACTGGTTGTTTGCTTTTGCTTCGAAGTTCTGCCGTCGGACGTTCATCAGATGTGCTTTGGTCATGAGGGTTTTGGGTAAGTGGCTTCGCCGCTTTTAAGTAAGTTGAGACCCTAAACCCTAAACCCTAAACCCTAAACTCAAGTCTTAGGCCGCCCCCCTACGTTGGGGGGCGGCGCTTAAGCCCTTCGACCTCGATGGCGCAAGCCGACCCACGTCACTCGCCCACCTCCCACAGCATGGGGGTCGGTAGCGCCCACGATGGGCCCGGTACCGGAACACGTTCTCCTCGGCACCAGTACTGGTCCCTTATAATAAAGTAAATACCCTAAACCCTCACATGATGATCCAGGGCGTGGCTGGCATTTTCAGGTGGGGTACCCCCAAACCCCAGCCAAGGAGGACCCGGACCCTTCGCCGGAGCGTGCCAGGCATCAGGGGGCAACTGCCTCCCGACCCCCCCATTTCCTTTGACTCTCACACCAACGAACGTCATGAACTGAATAAGTTTTTAGAAGTGGACTGTTGTCTGAGTTTAGGCCTAAACCCTAAAAGGAATAGGTTTGGGTGGCTTTGCCGCCTCGGACGGCGTGGGGTGGGAGAAAAGTGTTAGATGGCCCTTCACAATCGGGCCAAAGCTGCTCTTCGCACCTCACGAAGCTTTCGAGCCTGTTCCGAAACCTAACCTTCACAGCATCTACGCCCTATCACAGCAAACCCTAAACCCTAAACCCTAAACCCTAAACAGGTCAACGAAGCGATGGCATCGTCTCCAAGAAATTGCGCAAGCGGCAATCCAACGTCTGGGCCCCGTCAACCACGCTCTACAACACCAGTCCTATGCCACTAAATCCGGTAGGTGTTCAATGACTCCGACATATATCCCCCTTGGGAATTGTTTTGTATTATTTTGATTAAGGTTCTAAGGGGAGTATAGGAACATCTCCTAAGGGTCCATGTGCCTTATTACTATATGCTTTGGGGCTCCCAAGTCCCCTTCTTTCAAGTACTTTATGGCGCAAGTATTTAGGTACATGGACCTTCAGGGATCCCCTCCCATCGTGTCTGCGGATCAGGGTTTGGAGTCTGGAGCTTAGGGTTTTACGATTGGTCAGGGCCGGCGATTCGCTTCAAGGCCCCTTTACGCCGCTATGTGTTGTGGCATTCTCGACTTTCTGCTCCAGACTATGGGCTGGTACCTCGGTTTAGGGTTGAGGGTTTAGGGTTTAGGGCTTAGGGGTTTATAGGGTATTTGGGGTTTTGGGGTGAGTTGACAGGCGGAAGGCTTGCTTGACAGCTCTACATAAGCAAGCTGACGGCGCTCTCTTATGTTGCAAGCCCAATGTAACCCCAAGTCGCTCGACTCCTTCAGGTAAACCCTAAACCCTAAACCCTAAACCCTAAACCCTAAACCCTAAACCCTAAACCCTAAACCCTAAACCCTAAACCCTAAACCCTAAACCCTAAACCCTAAACCCTAAACCCTAAACCCTAAACCCTAACCCATAAACCCTAAACCCTAAACCCTAAACCCTAAACCCTAAACCCTAAACCCTAAACCCTAAACCCTAAACCCTAAACCCTAAACCCTAAACCCTAAACCCTAAACCCTAAACCCTAAACCCTAAACCCTAAACCCTAGCCGCGCATCTTCAGGAGCTGGTCTTTTCAGCCAGCCAGGCGGGGGAGGGGGGGGCAGAAGGGGAAGGACGGTCAGAGCTTCAACGATCCTGTCAGTGAGGGCCGCCATGTTTAGGGTTTAGGGTTTAGGGTTTAGGGTTTAGGGTTTAGGGTTTAGGGTTTAGGGTTTAAGGTTTAGGGGCCTCAAATCAACAGCAAGCCTGAGAGGGCTGATGGTGGGCAAGTCTTCCCTCCGAGGGTCTGTGTCCTATCAAGGCAGGGAGGGGTTCACAACCTGGCGGGTTTGGGTTGAGCTGCGCCGTCCAGGACAAATCCACGACTTGTATGGTGCCGCGGGCGAGCCTGATTCAGCCAGCCCTAGGTTCAATGTACGTAAGGCAGCCTCGGTCATGCGTGTGTGCCACATCCTTCTGCTGGTCTGCATGCCAGTGTAGAGAGCTGTCAAAAACAGCCTGTCCACAAGAGAGCATGCATCTTGGGAATCTTAGTGTCTCGATGCCTACATGGGTGGTTGTCAAAATTATGATCCCTTTTTGGGGTACCCTAAGTATTAGGTGCCGTATTATAATAGGGACCCAAAAAGGGACCATAATTTTGACAACCACCCACATGTATGATGCTGTACGTAGCAAAGGGCAAGCACCCCACCATCGAGATCAGGATTTCAGTCCGGCACCTGCAACTTCAGACCCAGCATGCCCAAGGGTTTAGGGTTTAGGATTTAGGGTTTAGGGTTTGGGTTTAGGGTTTAGGGTTTAGGGTTTAGGGTTTAGGGTTTAGGGTTTAGGGTTTAGGGTTATAAAGCACCTTGTGTCTCCAGCCAGCTTGAGGTTTTCGCTGTCTCACCAAGCTAAGGGAAAAGCATCTGGCCGGTTTTCAGCGTACTTGCTTCAACCGCTTGAGTCTTGAGGCCATGGGCTTTTGTTTTTGTTTTGTCGGGAGCCAAATTCAGCCTAGAACCCTTAAACCCCAAAGCCGTAAACTGTCGGTAGTGTGTCGGTGTTGGTGGCTTTTGAAAGAGGGGGCGGGGAAAGTGGGATACTCAGCTCGTTTTTGAGGCGGGGGTACCGGTGCTTTAAGGTCTATAGACGAAAGATAAAGTCTAAACCCCCAACCCCCCCAAGGACTCGGGTGATCTCGGCTTGGTAGTTGTCCCGATCTAAACCACTAGCCCTCAGCCCGAACCCCTAAAGCCCAATAAGAAGCCCCAATGTCCCTCACCCCTCAATCCCAATAACCGCAACCTTAAACCCCAAGAACCCTCATCCCTTGAAAGGACGCTTAGAACAGTACCCCATATCCCCACTTCCCCCGAAAAAAGAGACTGAGGCTTGCCCCACGGTTTAGGGCTTAGGGTTTTAGGGTTTTAGTTCCATAGCCTTTTTTCCTCCCATGTGTTTATGGTTAGAGCTCCAGGGATTAGAGCTGTCGGTCTGGGGTTGCTTTTCTGCTCGAATGCTTTCGTGTTCAGATTCCGGTTTGGGGATTTTGAGGTTAGGGTTTTGGGTGTAGGGTCTCGGGCTTCGGGTTGGCATTTTCAGGTTTTGGGTTTTGGGTTTCGGCGCTCCGGGCTTGGGGGGTTTTGGCGTTGGGGCCTTTCAGTCTTGGATTTCGGGTTTGGGGAGGACCCAGGGCCTAAACCCTCAACCCTAGACCCGAAACCCTAAACCCCCCAAGCGTTGCAAGAAGGCACCCCGACCTTTCTCGCTCTTCGGCCACATGTCATGAAGGAGCGCTTCCCTACACATGGCACGGTGCCTACATGGACCCACCCCGTGCACCCAGTAAATCCTTCAACCTATGAGGCCTGGCCCGGCACCGTGCGACACCGCAACCTGCAGCTAACCCTTAACTGACCCTCAACTCTATAGGGTTGTGTTGTGTAGGGTTTAGGGGAACCCTAAACCTAAAACCTCAACCCCTACACACCCCCTGAGAGCGGCACAAGCCTTAGAGCTAGGGGCCTTTGAAGCCTTCAACCCTGCCTAAACCCGCCTAAACCCTAAACCCTCAGCCCTCAGCCCTCAACCCTCAACCCTCAACCCTCAACCCTCAACCCTCAACCCTCAACCCTCAACCCTCAACCCTCAACCCTCAACCCTCAACCCTCAACCCCTGCCTTAACCTTCCTCTTTCTCCCCTGCGTTGAGCCCAGCCAATCGGTAGCTCCGCAGCATGGGCTTTAAGCCACTTGGCTTGATATCAGAAAGGGGAGTGTTAGGTTTCAGGGTTTAGGGTTTCAGGTTTAGGGTTTAGGGTTGAGTCTTTTGTGGGGGTTTAGGTTGTGAGGGCCTGGGGCTTCAGGGTTTGTGGGTTGAGGCGGGTTTGGGGTTCAGGATTTTGGATTTACTCAGGCCCTAAACCCTGAACCCTAAACCCGGCTGACTCACATCAGGCATTCAATTATCCTAGACCCTGAGGCTTCAATCGCTTCATTTCTTCCAACTCCTGACCCCTCTTGGATGTTTGTCTACTTTTCAGGGGTTAGCGCCTTTAAGGGGGCCGGGTCCATGTACCTGAATAAGGAATAACTGGGCCTTCAAGTACTTGGAACTTTGGGGCTCCAAGTATATAATACTGAGGTACATGGACCCTTAGGTTTAGGGTTTAGGGTTTAGGGTTTAGGGTTTAGGGTTTAGGGTTTAGGGTTTAGGGTTTAGGGTTTAGGGTTTAGGGTCTAAACACCAAACCCTATACCCTAAACCCCAAAACCACCAGCGTCCATTTTTGGTGAACGTCTCAAGAGGGAACTGAACCAAGTACATGTTGGATCCGTATGGATCCGTGCTATACCTAGGGACGTGTATAGGGTTTAGGAATGACCCTAAACCCCCAACCCCAAACCCTAGCGCTGTTCATAGTGTGCGTTATTCTCAATTCTGCGACGATTTTTTGAGGAGAATGTGAACTGACCTCTACATCCGTGATTGTTTCAGAAAATCCCCAGCCATGCAAATGACGACATCGCCCTTCGCGTTGCTTCTGGTTGCGTATATCCACGTCAACGGCGATGGCATCAATGTCAATGATGCTTTATGCGAGGCAGGCCTCTAAGCAGGGATCCCTATACTATAAACCCTAAACCAGAAACCCTGACGCATACACGTTGCCAATGTTTGGTTCTTAGGGTGTAGCGTTTAGGGTGCCTACTCTAAAGTCAAGATGTTGATTATAAATTCGGTGTATAGAAGGGTCATGCACGCCAAATTGTACTAGGATGTACGTAAGGATGCTATAGTCTAAAAGCTACGATCATCTACTACAATCCAAAACAAGCAATAACAAACCATAGCAACCAGTAACAATCAGTAACAGTCAATATTGTAGAACAATCAACCTCAAGAACCACGATAGCAATCAATAAATACGCAGAGTATCGCCTGTCTGAGGCAGCAGTCAATCAGCCTGGCGACCTCATCCTTCTCCAGGTGGAGAAAGCCATCGGCCTCAATGCGACCTCGAAGAAAGCAGAAGTGGATGATGGAGTTAATGTCTCGGGATGGATGCCCCTAGTTCGCATACCTTTATTCAGTGTGATCCTGATGGTTGCGCATGGATGGCTTTTCCGGCCATGGAAGTCGCTTTTCCTGGTCCTCATCCCAGTCGTACTGGCAGCAGTCCCGGCAGATCTTGAGGGAGTGTCCGACAACCGAGATCGGCAATTTGTGCTGGCAAAAACCTTCTCTGTCGCAATTATTCTGGAATTCGGAACAGCCGTATGCGTTGCCTATGCTCCACAACAAGCTGCCTGGCCCCTGAGCGGCTTCGTCTATCGCTGCTGCGCCTATCTGAAAGGCTATCACTGGCCCTGGATGTTTCTGTACCTAGGACCCAGAGTAGGCCCTTATTCCCCTTATTTTGGGTTTGGGTTCCCTTATAAACCCCTCAAAACCAAAAAGGGCACCCTTTTTCTTCCCAGGTTACTCTTGGGCCTAGGTACTTGGGCCTGTGCGCGAACATCCTGGAGGCCGTACTGCTCGACCTGGCAAACCAGAACTACTCGAACCCATATCCCCCCTTGGGAATTATGGTTTTTTTTGTTTCTAAAAGACCTAAGAAGATATTAAATATATTATTTTTATTCAGGTTCCAAGCGGAGTGTAGGAACGTGGCCGCGGGGCTGCTCCTCATCGCAAGCACCCCGCTGCCGGGAACCTGGCTTTTCCAGTACCCCATGGAGATGATCCAGAAGCATGGCATGACTCGGCAGGCTGACTTACAGGGACAAGATGCCACCGAAGACGAGGTGAGAGCTCGAGTTTCGGACTGGCACATTGCGCTGATGGAGCACAAAGGCAGTTCAGCTCCTTTCGGTGACTTGTGCTGCCGGCTACCTGTGTCCTGGGTCTGGCTCTACACATCATGGAATGGCTGCGTCTTGTTTAAGAGCCTGGATGAGAAGCTTGTGGCCCTGTTGCTGGCCCCTCTCCTTGAGAGCTTCCGAATTCGTTATGTGCAGCAACGCCATGGAGTTGCCCTAAACCCATGGGAACACCTGTACTGGCTTCAAGCACGTACATTCAGCCTGTGGTTGTGGACGGCTTTCCAGGGCCCCTTCCACCAGGTGCTCGCTACGCACATGATCTCCACGCCCACAGATTGGTTCCACCTCACCACGGAGGGGGCTGATCGGGCTCATCGGTTTTGGGGTGCTTTCAATCTGGTGGGGACATTCCTGCACGTGATCTGGTATTGGCATCGAGTATACCAGCTAAGCCGCGGAGAAGAGAAGGGACTTGAGGCTGCAGCAGAGACGGCTGACGGCTGAGGTTCACCTATCTGGTCCTTCGTGACGCCACCTCCATCAGGATTTAGAAAGTGAATGACACAGACTACGCTCGCAAAGGGGCTGTGAGGACGACATGTCGCCACAGAGGCAAAAGGCCCAGGTCAAGGCCAAAGGATGGTCCACCCCAAGCCCCAAACCCCCAACCTCAAACCCTAAACCCGAAACCCTAAAACCTCATACCCTAAACCCTGACCCCAAACCCTAAACCCTAAACCCTAAACCCTAAACCCTAAACCACAAGCCTATTCGAGGAAGGGGCGCGCTGCACGTGCAGCAGCCGAGCGTGCGGCTGTCGCGAATTCAAAGCCTTTGAGCATCCCGGCGAAGATTCATGTCGGGTTTCGGGTTGGGGGGTTCAAATTTAGGGTCCAGGGTTGGGGGTTAAAGGGTATACCGCATTGTTGTAAATCGGTCATGCCCTTAAAATCTAAAGCCCTGCCTTCTGGACCCTGAAGCCTGAAGCCCACTTCTGTAGCCCATGCTACCTGCCGGAAGCACCAAGGAGGGTCTTTTGTAGGGGGGAGAATTCCAACCCTAAAAACCAGTCCTTAATAGGGATTATCGTTCCCCCCATTCTAGCCCTACTAAGGAATGTTAGTATAAGGGGAACATCCCAACCCGAAACCCTGATTCAAACTCGCCACAAAACCCCAGATGTTCGCCACGACTGCGGCTCCACTGTGACCTACGACGCTCCCAACGGCTCGACCTATGCCATCGACGTGGAATTGACCGGCGGTTGGGAGGGGATTTCGGGGGAATGTTGTACCGCTTATGGAGGGTGCAATATGGGGCCTACATGATTTCAATGAGCATTTGTGGCATTCTATATATACATACATATATATATATATAGATTATATACATACATATATATATATATATATCCATATATATATATATATATATATATATATTATACAGTATATAATATAATATAGTATAATATAATATAATAGAAATATATAAATAAATATATATATATATGTATATGTACACTCAGGATGTTGAAATGCGGGGAAACTTCATGCAGTAGGCACTGGGGGGATGACATGTGTGTTTTTCCGGTTGTCGGGAGCTTGTTTGCCTCTTACTCTGTCTCTCATAGCTTGTTTTAGGGTTTAGGGTTAGGGATTTAGGGTTCAGGGTTTAGGGTTCGTGGTTGGGGGTTTTTGGGTTTTTGGGGTTTTGGCTTGGGCCCCGGCCAAGTTAGGTCATGTCTAGGCATCTGACCATGCAATCCAATCCAGCCAGTCTCATGTAACAAATGTAATCTAATCGATCTATGGTTATTTGTGTGCTTCTTGTACCTGTATTTGCAAAGTACACATATACATGTATCTATTGGTATTGTCCCCTTATACTACCAGTCCTTAATAGGGATTATAGTACCCCCTCTTATACTCCCTACTAGGGACTGTTCGGATATGGGGGAACATTTCAATGTATACCGTAAGTCTGTCATTGATGACGTGTGATGAGGACCGGTCCCGAGCCCATCAACTTTCCACATCGCATTTGGCAAAACAGCCTTTACGATTCAGGAGTTTCAAAAATTAGGGTGTAGGGTTTAGCCAAAGACTCTAGCCCTAAACCCTCAACCCTAGTATAGTTTAGGGATTAGGCTTCAGTTGCGGTTGCAGGTGTCGGGTTGCTCCTCCACCTCCAGCGTGCGCAACAGCCGTGACACTGCATGCCCACTGCCACATAGGTGGTAATTTGCCTGCATCCCCTGAAACCCGAAGCCCAAAAGCACCAATCCCTCAAAGCCTCAAAGCACCAATCCCTCAAAGCCCCAAAGCCTCAAAGCCTCAAAGCCTCAACAAAGCCTCAAAGCCTCAAAGCCTCAAAGCCTCAAAGCCTCAAAGCCTCAAAGCCTCAAAGCCTCAAAGCCTCAAAGCCTCAAAGCCTCAAAGCCCAAAGCCCGAAAATCCCGACGCGGGAGGATGATCCAGAAGAATGCGGCCAACGACAACAGCCGAAACGTTCACCGTCCGGGCCACAGTCCATGCGCATCCATCACCTCTCAGTTCCTTGCAGGTTTCTGAGATTTCGCGTATGAGAGCAGACGCTGGTTTTTTCTAGAGCACTAGAGCATATTTGGCAGAATCTGATATCGGCTCAAGGGATCCTGTTCGCACTTCCACACGCAGATCTTGGCTGTAGTGGTTCTGAACCCACTCCTCCTCGAGGGCATGCGTAGGATTTGAGGGTTGAGGGCTGAGGCTCGGTTTGGAGGGCTTTCTCTCCTCCGACCCCTCTTCTAGGACCCGGAGTAGGCCCTTATTCCCTTCTTTTAGGGTTTAGGTTCCCTTTTTAGCCCCTTTAAACCAAAAAGGGGGTACCCTTGAATTTCTAGGTTACTCTTGGGTCTAGTCTTGTCTTACAGGTAGGGCTGAGATTCTGAAGCTCCATTCTCAATCCACACCAGCATCCTAAGTAAGTATGTGCTGCTACGACAACATGAGACACAAGGGACAGAGAATGCAAGCTGGCTTCTCGTCTCTCAGTGCCGGATGCATGGCATCCCCTTTCAAGGAGCAGCAGAAGTGTTTTTTTGTTTTTTGCTCGTCTGTTTGTGCCCTTCTGCCCTCTCTCTCTCTCTATGTCTTTTCTTCGCGTTTCTCTCACATGTACATACATATGTATGCACATACACATACACATCTGCATCTAGGCGTTTATGTACATCTCTCTGTGTCTCTCTCTCCCTCTCTCCCTAAACCCTAAACCCTGAACCCCAAACCCTAAACATTCCTCTCTCGGAGGTCACCGTGGGCATGTCAAGCACTGGGCGTCTCTCTCGCTGCAGCGAGCTTTCAGGGTCCTGGGAAACCCGAAAGGTTTCCGCCGTAACCCTTGTCCCCACCATTAGGGTTTTAGTTTTTGTTTTTCTTTCTTTCTTTTTTTTTTGGGGGGGGGGGGGGGGTTAGGGTTTAGGCTTGAGGGTTTAGGGTTTAGGGTTTGGGGTTTGGGGGGGTGGGCAGGTTTAGCCAACCTGAGGGTTTAGGGTTTCTGGTGGCGGTTCAGGGTTTTGAGGCCTTCGAAGCCAACGCTCAATGAGTGAGGAACTTCAAATTCCAATCTCAGACCCTTCTAAACCCTAAAGTTTAGATCATTGCTTCTCCCGAGCAGTAGCCCCGCCCCCCGTCCCCCCCCGTCCCGAAGCTAGCAGTTCGGCCCCCAACGCCCCCGCACCCCAACAAGCTTCAACGCTGGACTGGGATTGGGGGCGCAGCCCTCTAAGACCACCAGCCCAGTAGGCACCTGCACTTGCAGGTTCACGGTACATAAAACCCACTTATAATACAGTTATAAGTGCAGCTATCATTGGTTACTAAGTACATGAACTCACTGTTATTTATAACCCACTTGTAATTCAGTTATAAGTACAGCTATCATTGGTTCATATACTTATAACCCACTTATAATACAGTTATAAGTACACTTATCATTGGTTAATAGATGCCATGAACCTCCAAGGGCAGCCGCCACTTCCTCCCAGGATGTGGCAATACGAGGCCGAGCGGGCGGAAGGCCGAAACTACACGCACTCCAAGACCACGCTGATTCAGTACCCGAAGGAGGCACCAGCAGAGCGGGAGTGCAGGATTCAGAGGGTTTAGAGGGTTTAGAGGGTTTAGAGGGTTTAGAGGGTTTAGAGGGTTTAGAGGGTTTAGAGGGTTTAGAGGGTTTAGAGGGTTTAGAGGGTTTAGGGCGGGGAGGCCGGGGTAGAGGGGGGAGCGGTGCATCCTCTCTACCCCCCCCCCCCCCCCCCCCCGAAGAGAGACCCCGTAAGCCCTACACCCTAGAAGC